ACCCATACTTGCCGTAAAAGACGACTATGCTTGTCGTAAGAGGCGACTAACGGATCGGGTGGTCCGGCTCGCTGACTTGGTTGACGCATGACATCGTATCCCAATTGAGTGGATCGATGCTCGTGGTGTCAATCACTGGATTGTCTGGTTCAAACTCGATTATTTACAGATCGCCCTCATTTAGCTGGAATATTGTTGAGTCCGGCGTTAAAAAAACAAAAACAAACCGAATATGATTGATACCAGTATTATGTCAACAGTTTGTTTAGAGTAGAGCAAACTCGACAGCAGCAGTGTGCGTGTAACATACGCCTCTCAGAGTAACCTGCACTTCTGGGCTTTCCCATGACCTATTATATCAGCTGACACGGCGGCCGGCTGCTACTATGAGTCCTTGCAGGAGATCGCGAGAAACATTGACACAAAGTATCCACCAATATCCCTGGCTCCCCGGAAAGAGGATCTTCGATCACGTGACCTTCATATGCTGCTGCCACCTACCGGCGACGGATCCACATCTCTGCGAGGTACTTGTGCCGTTGACAATCCGTGGATTTAGGCCGAGGTGTTCGAACAGTGTATCACCCAATAGTGGGTATTGCACTTTAGAGACTGCATGTGTAAAGCAGATTCTTTGATAATAAGCCTTGTTCGCAATGAATCACTTTATAATGATTGCCCTTGAATCAGTAAGTACTTGGGCGTCAACATTCACCCACAGCAAGTTCGTAGACAAACATGTTATAAGTGTTGTAACATTTTAGTAGTAGTAGTAGTAGAAGTGGTGCTACTAAAGTAGTAGTAGTAGTAGTAGTAGTAACAGTAGTAGTGGTAGTAGTAGTAGCAGGGGTGGTAGTAAAGGTAGTAGTAGTAGTGGTGGTAGTGGTAATAATAGTTGTAGTAGTAGTAGTAGTAGTAGTAGTAGTAGTGGTAATAATAGTTGTAGTAGTAGTGGTAGTAATAGTTGTAGTAGTAGTAGTAGTACTAGTAGTAGTAGTAGTAGTAGTAGTAGTAGTAGTAGTTGTGGTAGTAATATCAATCACTGTTTTGTCTGGTCCAAAGTCGATTTTACAGGTCGCCGTCATATAGCTTGTATAATCCTGATTGTGGCGTTCATCAAGAAGTCACACAAACAAGGGAGAAGGCAAGTTGGACGCCACATCGTCCATCATTGTTACAGCGCCAGCACGTACCCTGGCCCTTGCTGTGTTGAAAATGCGGCGCTATGCTAAATCTAGTACAGTTTCATAAGGAAGTGATGTTCCCACAATTGCATCCGACTGATTTAATTGTCACGCCGCGCGCTGACGCATTTCCTCCAGGATTACCCTTCAACCTAGAGCCGAGCTTCCCACCGGAGCTCTGTACTTGGGAAACGAATAAAAGTACTCAGATATATGCCGAGTTGGGGCGCGTAACACATTGTTAGGACACAGTAACATGGATATACGCGCAAAATGCGCTGATTATTCTGGCAAACCTTTCAGTAAATACATGTAGATTTGCATGGACAGGCTACCACTATATACAATAGACTCACATGCCTGCAAGATTCTACTGGAACAACCCACTAAGTTAAAATTGTTTGACAGGCATTACTTAGAAGTTGACGGATGACAAGGTAGACACAATTTCTGGATAACAACTTCTTTAAATAATACTGTAAAGGCGACGTTTCGGTATAGATCCTTATACCGTTGTCACCCAAGACTTGAACTTGTTATCCATAAATTGTGTCTACTTTGCCACTAAGTTTACAGTAAAATTCCCAGACGATCCACTAATCTGGTCCCACTGTTTGTTCGGGCAGAAAGCTGAACTTTTTTGTTCGCGCCTTTTTGTTTTATAAGGAGTCCAGTCATGCTAGACTTAGTCGTCCGTGATTATATGCAGACGACTAAAACTTTGACACGCACCACACAGTTGGCATAGGTGCTTGACCAGCACGTGCACACCGTGAACTAACATTTTAACTTACCGGTAACTCAGCGGGTGTGATTGTGGTTTCTGGAGAGGAACTATAATGTCGGTTTATAGTGCTTTCCCACTGAGCTACCATGTCGCAGTTAAACACTACTCAGAGCCGACCAGTTCTTATTCTATCCCCTTAATGTCGAGCGCCAGGCTGGGTAACAACAAGTACCACCTATTAACGTTTTTTGGTATGACGAGGCCAGGGAATCGAACCACCGACCTTCCGCTCTCCGGGCAGACTCAAGGAGGAGGTACTGGGGACCGTTTCTGATCACCAGGGTTATTCATAATGGGTTCCTCAGTCTCAGCTGTAAACGCTTAGGTAATTGTTATTGAACACTTTCCGTAATAGAACCGTGAAGATCCTGGGGTAGAAAAGGTCTTCAGCAACCCATGCTTGTCGGAAGAGGCAACTAGTGGGATCGGGTGGTCAGGCTCGCTGACCTGGTTGATGCATGTCATCATATCCCATTTCCGTGGATCGATGCTCATGATGTCAGTCACTGGATTGTCTGGTCCAGACTCGATTATTTACAGAATGCCGTCATATAGCTGGAATATTGCTGAGTACGGCGTTAAACAACAAACCAACCAACCAACAAGAAACAAACAAACAGTGTAACTAAGGGAGATTGTTGTTTGTGACAGCAGTCGTCACAGCGAAACAATACATGACAGTAGCGCACAAAGGGCAAGCAATAGGCATGCATGATTAGGCTGGGGAACAAATGAGCTCAACGAATTAATTAGTGTGATTTCAAGGTTATGACATTCGTGTAGGCAAATCGGTGATGTGATGGTCGACTCAAGAGAGGTTAGTTAACGTGATACGGTATTGAGGCCAGTCGCGGTACCCTTCGCGTTTAGGACCCGTCGTTAGTTTGAATTCCAACAGCATAGCATCCGCCCACACCCCGCTCGTGTGTCAATGGATTTAATGAGGAATGGAAATATCCGTGCACTGACCGTAACTCCATTGAACATCTATAGCAGGATGAACATGGACGTCGTCGTCCTCATCAGTTGGACCAACCCTCGGCTTCAGATCCCAAGGGCTACCAATTATCCTCATCCAAGTATGCCAAGGCTATGATGGCCAGGGGCGGTGGGGTAGTCTAGTGGTAAAACCGTTCGCTCGTCAGGCCTAAAACCTGGGTATGATTCCCCACATGCATGGGTACAATATGTGAAGCCCATTGCTGGTGTGCCCCGCGGTGATATTGCTGGAATAATGCAAAAAGCGGTGTAAAACCATACTCACTCACCTGCATGCTCACTGTCAAGCATATATTTTGCCTAGACTTTGCAGTAGCAATGGATTCTCACTGTAAAACAGAAAATCTATTTTCCCGTGTAAGTGCGTCTCATTTTGAAATATCTGTAAGAGATAGGCCCGTATCACAAATTTTGAATATATGTTTGAATGTTAAATTATTTTTGAATTTGATATCATTGAAAGCTCTGTATGGGAGCTTAAAGTAGCGTAGGAAATCTTCCAACTTTAACTTACACACTGCAATCGGTAACGGGGAAATCGCCCCAATAGGGCTAGTTGATTCTACTTCCGGATTCAACGGGTTCGAGGGATTTCTTATTTCATTTTTTGTTGTTTTTTTTTTTTTAGCATCTTTATCACTGAGGCATATAATCATGCACTTGACCTGGGTGATCACGCTTCAAGACAGAGATCCTTCTCTCCTGACATAAAGCAGGAGTGTGTCAGTTTGGGCGAGGTGCTATAAACATCCATGATATTACGAGAAATACCCACATGCCTGTGTTGTTCGCTTGTTCCTGGGACACGGGTGGTCCTGTTGTCTCAGACGTAGCCTAGGGTTTCGAGAAATCTATGATCCTGGGACACGGGTGGTCCTGTGGTCTGAGGCACGTAGCCTAGGCTTTCGAGAAACCTATGACCCTAGGACACGGGTGGTCCTTTGGTCTGAGGCACGTAGCCTAGGGTTTCGAGAAACCTATGATCCTGGGACACGGGTGGTCCTGTAGTCTGAGGCACGTAGCCTAGGCTTTCGAGAAACCTATGACCCTAGGACACGGTGCATGGTCCTGTAGTCTGAGGTACGTAGCCTAGGCTTTCGAGAAACCTATGACCCTAGGACACGGTGCATGGTCCTGTAGTCTGAGGTACGTAGCCTAGGCTTTCGAGAAACCTATGATCCAGAGTTCGAATCCCAGATTAACCCTGATAATGTATCTTGGTTTGACAGCATCATATTGTGTTCATGTTTCAGGAAAGTGGTGAACTTCGACCGGGTTTTCCTCCCCAACACGTGATATAAATAAATTACTATTCAAAGCGGCATTAAATCCAACTCACTCATAAACACCTGTCCTACAGAACGGGCATGGATCAAATCAGGGACTATAGCAACACTTGTTTATCATCCGTAATTCTGAGGTTGGATGTTATAATCAAGCTATTTTGGGGGGTTATTTTTCAGCAGTCAATACGTAGTCGGTGTTTAATTTTTTTCCTGAAAATGCAGTTTATAAGAGAGCGACATTAAAGACGAAAAGAAATACTTGTCTAGCTTCTCTTGTTAACACTGGTGTTTTGTAGTCTGATGGTATATGTGATATCTATATTAACTTCTTAAGCTAGTATATACCTGATGTAAACACCTATGTATGTTACATGTATGTTAACAAAAAGTTAAAACACCAAATTTGCAACGGCTTTATCAGTTTATATATATATATATATATATATATATATATATAAGTTAGTATATATATTGAAGCAGTATGGGGAATATATATATGTATATGCAGATTCATATTTTTGCCCACGATTGCAAATTTGAGTTAAATGCTCTTTAAATCAAAACGCTACAATGTTCTAGACTCCGTAGACTGCATGAACTGTGTTTAACAGATGTTACGCGTAGGTGAACGGACATATTGATTGCCAGGTGACTGAAAGAGACTGTGAATACCGCCGACACGGAATTCCATCGTTTCTGATTGGTCCATTTGCACCGGAAGTCACTTTACATGTGATGTATGACGTCACACGGAATCCCTAGGTTTCACAAGTGACCAGAGAGTCAAGCCTACATCGGTATCTTCCTACCAGCTTTTGTCTTTTTATGTCTCTCTCCAAGTTCCCAGATGTGAATTATGGCTGGTGTATTCGACTTAGAACTCCATGAAGGCGTCGGCGATGATGAGGAAATCTCCGAAGATGAGTTTTTCGCGGCTGATGAAAATTTTCAGGTGGGCCAAATTTAGACGTAGGCTTATTGGTGGAACGGAAGACCCGCTAGAAACTGTCTGACTCAATGACTGGTTGCGCGGTCTAATCTAGAAACTACTTCGACTGAAGTAACATTACCTTTTAGCCTTTGTGTGTGTTAATTTGTTTCCTGGACACCACGTTGTGTATCTTTGTGTCCGGTACTTTCTATCACGCAGTAGATTTAGGCCATATTTCACCATGTTCAATGTTGGTTTATTCGTTGGCGTGGCCAGATGAAATGTCAAATCGGGCATATATTAATCCAAGATCACAACTTAAGGAGTGTAATTGAACACAGATCGACTTTTTTCAGTAATTTATCATAATACTTGTCTTAAAAGGATCTGGTTTCTACATTACTCACTCCCATTTAATCTAATACTTCTGCCACTTGTTAAAAAAAACAACTATGATGACTTGTAAACATATTTTGCTGAATTCACACTTTGTGCTTGATCATCTTGTATTGAAACACAGTCACAGCAACCATACAGTAACATTCTGCTTGTTCCACCATCATGACTATGATAATTAGTTACTGTTAAATTATTAATAAATTGGAAATAATATCTCCACTTTTTTTTATTAAGGGTGGTTGTAAATCTAAGTTCATCTTTCTTACAGAAATTGTGATGTTAGTTGAATTGTATTTCTTATATTAAAGCTAGAGACATGTTGTGTGATTTAACAAATGCTTAAGAAGACCCCCAATGGCAATATCCACCTATCTCATCAACTTTAACCTCAGATCATATATCCTGCCAGCTGCCTACTGATCGTCATGTTTTGATACCATCAGGATGGTATCGGGGCTGGGACAGTGAGCTCGGGAGCCCTGGGTCAGGAGGATCATGAGTTGGCCCTTGGGTACTGTTGTACAACTGCCGTTACAAATGGTTACAAAAAATGGTTCGTGGCTAAATCCCCTACACAGCTGTTGTTTTCAGAGAAAAAACGAGCACATTATACACACAAAAACACTGTATTTATTTATGATGTGAATAAGGTAGACGATGAATGTAATCGTATAGGTCGATGTACAGCAGGTAATAGGGATTAAGATACTCGGGTCGTAAACATGGACTTTTCAATCTATTTTTATTCACTTGGATCCTGTCTGTTGGGAATTTTTATGAGGATGAGTAGACATTTCTTAAAGAATTCTGCTTAAATGATGTTTCAGGGGACTTATAATTTTCGTGTGCAGCCACAAGTGTGGTTCATGTCACATAAACTTAGAACAGGGCTTATAAATAATAAGCGAGATACAGTCCCTTGTTTGTGCATTATTCACTGGAGAAGACTAGTACTGGTATATGACTGATACATATTGCAATACAGCCAGCCCTGTGTACTGTAAAATGGTGTGATACACTTTAAACCTCCAATACCCATCCCTACTACCCAGCGACTAATTTTTGGGATTATATAATTAATTTACAGTCCTATTTGTTATATTTGAGAATCTCACAGTCAGCATAATTTACATGGTGTTATTTTTTATATTACAGTCTAGGGAATATGTCTAGACAATCTAACCATTTAATTGGTTTGTGTGGTTCGTAAAAATAAGCAGTTTTACCCATGGTCAAGACTACAAAGGATTATCAGATAGACGGGCATATTGTTAAGCTGGTCTATACAGGGTTAATCCATTAATTATGTCATTTCTAAATGAATGATATCACAGTGCCACAGCATGTTGAGGGCACAGGGTCATTGACCCCTTGACAAAATCCAATGGCCTTCCAAGGTTTATACGTGATGCACAAATGTAGAGAATGGATGCAGAGAAAATATACTGCATCCCGAGGGACACTCAGTAACATTCATTGTATCTCCAGCGCAACAAGAGCAGTAATGGCGTCTGTTATTTCATCCGTCAATCATGACTACTGTCCACTTGATCATTGATTCATTCCAGGCTCTCAAGTAATTATGTAAACATACAGTTCACTACACCATTTAACCGCCTCTGTGGTCTAGTGGTAGAGCGTCTGCCCAGAGAGCGGAAGGTCCGGGGTTCGATCCCCGGCCGCGTCATACCAAAAGATGTTAAAAGATGGTACTTGTTGTTACCCTATCTGGTGCTCGGCATTAAGGGGCTAAAACAAGGGCTGGTCGGCTCGGAGTCAGTATACTGTCTGAGTGGGGTATTCATGTTAAACTGCGGCATGGTATTTCAGTGAGCTAGCACTATAAATCGGCATCAGTCCGGACTAGTACAAGCAGCCACACAAACACACACGCACCTACATGCACGTTGCTATATAAGTGCAATAATCTTGGACGCAACGTTAAACCCCATCTCACCTCACCTCACTACACCATGTCATTACTTTATAGGACCCTCATATTGCCTGCAATGACCCTTTGAAATTCATCATTGGTGGTCCCCTGGACCCCAGTTTTGTAAGTCAAGGTAAAACCCTGACCTCCATTTTGAAGTAAGATGGGTCCTTGTGGCCCACTGGTCGGATATCTGACCCAGCAGCTGGTTAGAGCAAAAAGAGACAAGACTATTTTGTTATTTTTTCACACACAAAGGAGTATGAATAATTCATACCGTGTACACATCAGGGGTTAATACCTGTCCAATAAAACCTCAAGATGCATATGCGATCCAACACAGCTTAAAATAACACTGTAAAAGTTTAGTTTTATAATTATATATATGCCTGCAGGGATTTTATATCTAGAATTCCAAACTAAGTGTCCTTGGCAGCCAAATTGGGAAAATAGGCAATTTTTTTTTAAAATGTGGGATTTTCTTAAAAGTTCTTATTTTCGTAAAGTCAGGGGTGTATTAACATTATATTCAATGTTAAACTATAAAATAAGACATTACAGCCTCTTCTTATTTATTGGACCTGTTATCAGAGAAATACAAGCTACTTCTACAAAGCAACAACATAAGTTATGGCCATCATAAAATGACTTGGCAGTATTTGATTCCAATTTGGGAATTGTAACTGACATTTGCTTCAAAATTAGTCTCAAAAGGGGGGTGGAGGGGGGTGGGGTTGATTTTGTTTCTGGATGACAACTTGAAAACAGTGAACGACATTTTTTATCCAAACCTGGTACATGTGTTAACCAAGGGCTGAAGTGGTGCATTTTGCTATTAACGTATTTTTCAAAATTTGATTTTTCCCAGTTTCCATGGAAACAAGTTAGATTGGGGGCCCGAATATTGGCCTCTGAAGTCAAGATAAGTGCATGGTATGGTATAAGTGCATATATTAATGGGTTAATATACAGGTTATTAACATATTGGCTGATATATATTAATGACAAATATGACAAAATGAGTGATTGTCATCATTAGTGGTTGAACTCAAGAGAATACATGCTGATTCATACGCAACCAGTGTCTGAAATATGTTTAACAGTCAACATGCCAGGTGTGATCAAGCCTTGGAAATGTACCTAGACCATTTTGAAAGTTACAGTCCCAAATTTTTAACTTTTAGCTAGGGTAGACATGGTAGATAACAAACACTTCAGTTGTCCACATGGACTGCACTTATCTTTCTTCCCGATGTTTGTTGTAATCACAATCTCACCCTTTTGTTTGCCTCTTCATCTGAAAAAATTGAATATTGTTATCTGAGACATCGTAAATTGTGACTTTCGTTTCGAAGCCAGTGGCCAAGCACCAACATCTAAAATAAATATATATATAATGACTGCTATATCACCCTTTTGGCAGCAGAAATACATTGATTGTAATCTTAACCGCGATTGGTCAGCTTCTGAGTTGAACCAATCGGATGCTCGCTTCAAAAGTTTGTATAGATGGCAGCTGTCCGGAATAACAGCCAGCCCGTGGCCGGTAACTTTTCTGTCGGGCTGCATGAAATTTTCCTCCACCTCTCCGACTGTATGGCAGATAATTGTAAGACGACTTAGTACTTATGTATTCAGTTTTTAAATAACCTCTTGAAGATTCTCAAGTAATTGTTTGCAATAATTCAACTGAATCAAGACATGATTTGTCTCTTAGTTTCATTTAATACTTATAATGCCTGAATGTGGACAGGTAACTTTGAAGATGGACAGACAACACTTATGGGTCACCTGCTTGAGACTGTCTTGTTGGGGTTTACAATTATTTCGAACACTGGCTGATGACCAGGCTATGTTGAAGTCCCTCACTGTATTATGTCCCTTTCTTTCCCCCCCCCCCCCCTTCTTCAAAGGGGAGACATATAGGTTATAGTAACAACTTAACTAATTTTTCAAAAAAGAGATGAAGGAAGACATGTTTAAAGTAGAAACACATTCTAGTTAGAGCATTGTAGAGAGTTGTGTCCCTTTGATGTACCAGGATACATTGATGATTGCCAAATTGTAAACATGGTAAACATATTAATCTCATATTTAGGAGTAGGTACATCATGTACAAAGTCTTGACCAGTGAAATAAAGTTTACACTGGTCCTAATGGCTGGTCTTAACAAAAACTGATTTCTAACACTGTACCTCCATAATATTTTATTTCACATGCTTATATGATACAATATGCAACAGAACGTCCCACATGGCGACAAATTGGATCGGGTGATCAATTTATTTGTTTGTTGTTTAACACAGCACTCGGCAATATGCCAGCTATATGACGGCGGTCTGTAAATAATCAAGTCTGGACCAGACAATCCAGTGATTGACATCCATGAGCATTGAAACATGCAAATGGGATACAGTGATATACATCAACCAAGTCAGCGAGCATGACCACCCAATCCAGTTATTGCCTCTTACGACAAGCATAGTCGCCTTTTACGGCAAGCATGTGTTGCTGAAGACCAATTCTACCCCGGATCTTCACCGTGTTCACGGATGACCAGGTGTTCAGAGCCACCGACCTGTTTGATGCGTGTCATCGTATCCCATCTGTGTAGATTGATGCTCATGATGTCAATCACTGGATTGTCTGTCCAGTCTCGATTATTTACAGTCTGCCATCATTTATCTGGAATATTGCTGAGTGCTGCAACAAACAAATGTCGCAGTATCATCACGTGTTCAGAAAGGACCGTGCACAGTTTTGTGAAATGATATGAATTGCAATAAGGATGCTGCACCAGATGTGCTGTTCAATTTTGTTTTAGGTCCTTTGATAACAATGATAACAATGACATATATCTTGACCCTAGTTAGAACCCTAGCTGTGCTGCTGTGCAGCCACCAAGCATTGTGTTGTAACTAGCACATGTAGTGTGTGTCAAGCATTGTGTAGTAACTAGCACATGTAGTGTGTGTCAAGCATTGTGTTGTAACTATCACATGTATGTGTCAAGCATTGTGTAGTAACTAGCACATGTATGTGACAAGCATTGTGTAGTAACTAGCACATGTAGTATGTGTCAAGCATTGTGTTGTAACTAGCACATGTAGTATGTGTCAAGCATTGTGTAGTGACTAGCACATGTAGTATGTGTCAAGCATTGTGTTGTAACTAGCACATGTAGTATGTGTCAAGCATTGTGTTGTGACTAGCACATGTATGTGACAAGCATTGTGTAGTAACTAGCACATGTAGTATGTGTCGAGCATTGTGTTGTAACTAGCACATGTATGTGACAAGCATTGTTTAGTGACTAGCACATGTAGTATGTGTCAAGCATTGTGTTGTAACTAGCACATGTAGTATGTGTCAAGCATTGTGTTGTAACCAGCACATGTATGTGTCAAGCATTGTGTAGTAACTAGCACATGTAGTGTGTGTCATGGTATCTCATTGGGCAAGCATTAACCAACATAAGTTCAGACAAGTACAAGCAGCCACACTCGTACAAGCATGTCAATATATAAGTGCAATAGGTATCTTTAATAGTTCTTTCAATTTGTTTTTTTCAGGAACAAGGACCCCTAAGCCCCGAAGAGTGAGTAGATCATTACTTTCATTCATACTGTCCATCATGTCCGTGTTGGATATTCAAAGTAATCTAGTTGGTGTTGGATAGAGTCACTGACACAAGTACCAAACAAAGAAGGGAAATGTACAGTGTGTCATGTTTCTACAAATACGAACCATACTCAGCATGCTCGGTCACTATACGATGTGACTGAATGGTTCTTGTTAAGTGGCAGTGAGGGATGTGGGTGTGGTAATGATGGATGTGGGTGGGACAGTGAGGGATGTGGGTGTGGTAGTGATGGATGTGGGTGGGACAGTGGTGGATGTGGTAGTGATGGATGTGGGTGGGACAGTGAGGGATGTGGATGTGGGTGGGACAGTGAGGGATGTGGATGTGGTAGTGAGGGATGTGGGTGGGACAGTGAGGGATGTGGATGTGGTAGTGATGGATGTGGGTGGGACAGTGGTGGATGTGGTAGTGATGGATGTGGGTGGGACAGTGAATGATGTGGATGTGGGTGGGACAGTGAGGGATGTGGATGTGGTAGTGATGGATGTGGGTGGGACAGTGAGGGATGTGGATATGGTAGTGATGGATGTGGGTGGGACAGTGAGGGATGTGGATGTGGTAGTGAAGGATGTCGGTGGGACAGTGAGGGATGTGGTAGTGATGGATGTGGGTGGGACAGTGAATGATGTGGATGTGGGTGGGACAGTGAGGGATGTGGTAGTGGTAGTTATGGATGTCGGTGGGCAACAATGCAGTTTACCGGGCGCAGCCCGAGCTCTACCATCTGCTCAATTACCGCGCTATAGTGCCACCGCTGTCTCGTTATACCGTTACCGTGCCTCACGCTCTGGTGACTCTCGCTTCACGATCCAACACCAGTTTTCGGTCTTAGGGAAACTTACACGTCTTTACAATCAAACACCCGTTCTCGGTCTTAGGGAAACTTACACATCTTTACGATCAAACACCCGTTCTATGTCTTGGGGAAACTTACACAACTTTACGATCCAACACCCGTTTTTCGGTCTTAGGGAAACTTACACGTCTTTACGATCCAACAGAGGCAGTCGGGTAGCCTAGTGGTTACAGCGTTCGCTCGTCATGTCGAAGACCCGGGTTCGATTCCCGACATGGGTACAATGTGTGAAGCCCATTTCTGGTGTCCCCCGCCGTGATATTGCTGGAATATTGCTAAAAGCGGCGTAAAACCATACTCACTCACTCACTCACTTACGATCCAACACCCGTTTTCAGTCTTAGGGAAACTTACACGTCTTTACGATCCAAAACCCCTTTTCGGTCATTAGGGTCAGCTGGCTTTGGGCAAGGGTTAGCCATAAATTCTTACCTTTTCAAGCGTTAATCCAGTTAATCCCATTGGTCGGTCATGTTGACATAAACAATTGCGAGTGTGGTTTCAAGAAAAGATGAATGGGAGAGCGGGCAGTGACGTCACACGCATGCGTAAATTCATTGTTTACTGAATTACGCATGCATGTCAATGGGGATTTTAATGACCTGTTAAACAAGCACTGATTACATGTGATAGCGCCTGTGGTCCAGTGGTAGAGCGTCGGCTAATTAACGCATTAATTAGTAGAGCCGGTTAGCCGGCGAAGCGCGTTCGAGCCCCCACAGCGCTAATAGGATCTGAAAAAGTGCGCCCGGTAAAGTGCACTACTCCCTGTCGGTGGGACAGTGAGGGATGTGGATGTGGTAGTGATGGATGTTGGTGGGACAGTGAGGGATGTGGATGTGGTAGTGATGGATGTTGGTGGGACAGTGAGGGATGTGGTAGTGAGGGATGTGGGTGGGACAGTGAGGGATGTGGATGTGGTAGTGATGGATGTTGGTGGGACAGTGAGGGATGTGGTAGTGAGGGATGTGGGTGGGACAGTGAGGGATGTGGGTGGGACAGTGAGGGATGTGGATGTGGTAGTGATGGATGTTGGTGGGACAGTGAGGGATGTGGATGTGGTAGTGATGGATGTTGGTGGGACAGTGAGGGATGTGGAAGTGGTAGTGATGGATGTTGGTGGGTCAGTGAGGGATGTGGAAGTGGTAGTGATGGATGTGGGTGGGACAGTGAGGGATGTGGATGTGGTAGTGATGGATGTTGGTGGGACAGTGAGGGATGTGGATGTGGTAGTGATGGATGTCGGTGGGACAGTGAGGGATGTGGTAGTGAGGGATGTGGGTGGGACAGTGAGGGATGTGGATGTGGGTGGGACAGTGAGGGATGTGGTAGTGATGGATGTGGGTGGGACAGTGAGGGATGTGGATGTGGTAGTGATGGATGTTGGAAGGACAGTGAGGGATGTGGATGTCGGTGGGACAGTGAGGGATGTGGTAGTGATGGATGTGGGTGGGACAGTGAGGGATGTGGATGTGGTTGTGATGGATGTTGGTGGGACAGTGAATGATGTGGATGTCGGTGGGACAGTGAGGGATATGGATGTGGTAGTGAAGGATGTCGGTGGGACTGTGAGGGATGTGGTAGTGATGGATGTCGGTGGGACTGTGAATGATGTGGATGTGGGTGGGACAGTGAGGGATGTGGTAGTGGTAGTGATGGATGTGGGTGGGACAGTGAGGGATATGGATGTGGTAGTGAAGGATGTCGGTGGGACTGTGAGGGATGTGGTAGTGATGGATGTCGGTGGGACTGTGAATGATGTGGATGTGGGTGGGACAGTGAGGGATGTGGGTGGGACAATGATGGATGTGGGTGGGACAGTGAGGGATGTGGATGTGGTAGTGATGGATGTGGGTGGGACAGTGAGGAATGTGGATGTGGTAGTGATGGATGTCGGTGGGACAGTGAGGGATGTGGATGTGGTAGTGATGTATATTGGTGGGACAGTGGTGGATGTGGTAGTGATGGATGTGGGTGGGACAGTGAGGGATGTTGATGTGGTAGTGATGGATGTGGGTGGGACAGTGAATGATGTGGATGTGGGTGGGACAGTGATGGATGTGGTTTGGACAGTGGTGGATGTGGTAGTGATGGATGTGGGTGGGACAGTGAGGGATGTTGATGTGGTAGTGATGGATGTGGGTGGGACAGTGAATGATGTTGATGTGGGTGGAACAGTAAGGGATGTAGTAGTGATGGATGTGGGTGGGACAGTGAGGGATCTGGGTGTGGTAGTGATGGATGTGGGTGGGACAGTGAATGATGTGGATGTGTTTTCGGACAGTGATGGATGTGGGTGGGACAGTGGTGGATGTGGTAGTGATGGATGTGGGTGGGACAGTGAGGGATGTGGATGTGGAAGTGATGGATGTCGGTGGGACAGTGATGGATGTGGGTGGGACAGTGAGGGATGTGGGTGTGGTAGTGATGGATGTGGGTGTGGTAGTGATGGATGTGGGTGGGACAGTGAGGGATGTGGGTGTGGTAGTGATGGATGTGGGTGGGACAGTGATGGATGTGGGTGTGGTAGGGATGGATGTCGGTGGGACAGTGAGGGATGTGGATGTGGTAGTGATGGATGTGGGTGGGACAGTGAATGATGTGGATGTGGGTGGGACAGTGAGGGATGTGGTAGTGGTAGTGATGGATGTGGGTGGGACAGTGAGGGATGTTGATGTGGTAGTGATGGATGTGGGTGGGACAGTGAATGATGTGGATGTGGGTGGGACAGTGGTGGATGTGGTAGTGATGGATGTGGGTGGGACAGTGGTGGATGTGGTAGTGATGGATGTGGGTGGGACAGTGATGGATGTTGATGTGGTAGTGATGGATGTGGGTGGGACAGTGAATGATATGGATGTGGGTGGAACAGTGAGGGATGTGGTAGTGATGAATGTGGGTGGGACAGTGAGGGATGTGGGTGTGGTAGTGATGGATGTGGGTGGGACAGTTAGGAATGTGGTAGTGAGGGATGTGGGTGGGACAGTGAGGGATGTGGATGTGGATGTGGTAGTGATGGATGTGGGTGGGACAGTGATGGATGTGGGTGTGGTAGTGATGAATGTGGGTGGGACAGTGAGGGATGTGGGTGTGGTAGTGATGGATGTGGGTGGGACAGTTAGGGATGTGGTAGTAAGGGATGTGGGTGGGACAGTGAGGGATGTGGATGTGGTAGTGAGGGATGTGGATGTGGTAGTGATGGATGTGGGTGGGACAGTGATGGATGTGGGTGGGACAGTGAGGGATGTGGGTGGGGCAGTGGTGGATGTGGGTGTGGTAGTGATGGATGTGGGTGGGACAGTGAATGATGTGGGTGGGACAGTGAGGGATGTGGGTGGGGCAGTGGTGGATGTGGGTGTGGTAGTGATGGATGTGGGTGGGACAGTGAATGATGTGGGTGGGACAGTGAATGATGTGGGTGGGACAGTGAGGGATGTGGATGTGGATGTGGTAGTGATGGATGTGGGCGTGGCAGTGACGGATGTGGGTGGGACAGTGAGGGATGTGGGTAGGACAGTGAGGGATGTGGGTAGGACAGTGAGGGATGTGGATGTGGTAGTGATGGATGTGTGTGGGACAGTGAATGATGTGGATGTGGGTGGGACAGTGAGGGATGTGGTAGTGGTAGTGATGGATGTGGGTGGGACAGTGAGGGATGTGGGTGTTGTAGTGATGGATGTGGGTGGGACAGTGATGGATGTGGTAGTGATGGATGTGGGTAGGACAGTGAGGGATGTGGGTGGGGTTTTACAAGTCAGTTGGGGATGTTGACGAAGAGAAATTCATGACATTCAATTGTTTGTGTACCATAGTGTGTCAAGTAGGCATGTTTGATAATCTATAGTCAATGTTGATGCCTGTGTGCGTATGCTTGGGACTCGATTCCTGACACAGAGCATATGTCTTGTGTAAGTCTTGCACACAGGGTCTTGTCATTGCTCATGGCACAAGGTCAAACATCTACTGAAATTGAGTTAATCATCTGTTACCATGGTAACAGATTCAGAGTATTTGACTTCTTACGTAAAGAGTCATCCACGTTTGTCCAATAATAGAGATTGTTCCTCAGCTAGGAAACAAGCCCGTTCAAGGACTATGAACAAACATTTGAGACGCCTCTGATTAATCAGTATGTTGAGTGATTCAGAATTCAGAATTGAACAAGTTAAACAGCTGGCTTGAGTTGTGATCATGATGTTTTCTCTACCTATGGAAGAGGCTTGTATACCATGATGTTTCTATACCTATGGAAGAGGCTTGTATACTATGGTGTTTCTCTACCTATGGAAGAGGCTTGTATACCATGGTGTTTCGCTACCTATGGAAGAGGCTTGTATATACCTTGATGTTTCTCTACCTATGAAAGAGGCTTGTATACCATGATGTTTCTCTACCTATGGAAGAGGCTTGTATACCATGATGTTTCTCTATCTATGGAAGAGGCTTGTATACCATGGTGTTTCTCTACCTATGGAAGAGGCTTGTATACCATGATGTTTCTCTACCTATGGAAGAGGCTTGAAAACCGTGGTGTTTCCCTACCTATGAAAGAGGCTTGTATACCATGATATTTCTCTACCTATGGAAGAGGCTTGTATACCATGATATTTCTCTACCTATGGAAGAGGCTTGTATACCATGATGTTTCCCTACCTATGGAAGAGGCTTGTATACCATGATGTATCTCTACCTATGGAAGAGGCTTGTATACCATGGTGTTTCTCTACCTATGGAAGAGGCTTGTATACCATGGTGTTTCTCTACCTATGGAAGAGGCTTGTATACTATGGTGTTTCTCTACCTATGGAAGAGGCTTGTATACCATGATGTTTCTCTACCTATGGAAGAGGCTTGTATACCATGGTGTTTCTCTGCCTATGGAAGAGGCTTGTATACCATGATGTTTCTCTACCTATGGAAGAGGCTTGTATACCATGGTGTTTCTCTACCTATGGAAGAGGCTTGTATACCGTGGTGTTTCTCTGCCTATGGAAAAGGCTTGTATACCATGATGTTTCTCTACCTATGGAAGAGGCTTGTATACCATGATGTTTTCTCTATCTATGGAAAAGGCTTGTATACCATGGTGTTTCTCTACCTATGGAAGAAGCTTGTATACCATGATGTTTCTCTACCTATGGAAGAGGCTTGTATACCATGATGTTTCTCTACCTATGGAAGAGGCTTGTATACCATGATGTTTTCTCTATCTATGGAAGAGGCTTGTATACCATGATGTTTCTCTACCTATGGAAGAGGCTTGTATACCATGATGTTTCTCTACCTATGGAAGAGGCTTGTATACCATGGTGTTTCTCTACCTATGGAAGAGGCTTGTATACCATGGTGTTTCTCTACCTATGGAAGAGGCTTGTATACCATGGTGTTTCTCTACCTATGGAAGAGGCTTGTATACCGTGGTGTTTCTCTACCTATGGAAGAGGCTTGTATACCATGATGTTTCTCTACCTATGGAAGAGGCTTGTATACCATGATGTTTTCTCTACCTATGGAAGAGGCTTGTATACCATGATGTTTCTCTACCTATGGAAGAGGCTTGTATACCATGATGTTTTCTCTACCTATGGAAGAGGCTTGTATACCATGATGTTTCTCTACCTATGGAAGAGGCTTGTATACCATGGTGTTTCTCTACCTGTGGAAGAGGCTTGTATACCATGGTGTTTCTCTACCTATGGAAGAGGCTTGTATACCATGGTGTTTCTCTACCTATGGAAGAGGCTTGTATACCATGGTGTTTCTCTACCTATGGAAGAGGCTTGTATACCGTGGTGTTTCTCTACCTATGGAAGAGGCTTGTATACCATGATGTTTCTCTACCTATGGAAGAGGCTTGTATACCATGATGTTTCTCTATCTATGGAAGAGGCTTGTATACCATGATGTTTCTCTACCTATGGAAGAGGCTTGTATACCATGATGTTTCTCTACCTATGGAAGAGGCTTGTATACCATGGTGTTTCTCTACCTATGGAAGAGGCTTGTTTTTCATGATGTTTCCATACCTATGGAAGAGGCTTGTATACCATGGTGTTTCTCTACCTATGGAAGAGGCTTGTATACCATGATGTTTCTCTACCTATGGAAGAGGCTTGTATACCGTGGTGTACCTCAGGAAGAGAGAAATCTCTGTATCAAGACAACACTGTTAGTTCAGTACAGGGTGGGGGGCTCCTCAGGGAAAGTACTTAATGTCATTTCTAAGCAGGTCTGGATTTTTGCTGGGAGCTAAGTGCCGCCTAAAATGAATATTTATGTGGTCAAACCTAAGTTTTTAGGAGTCAACAGATATCTTAAACAGATATTGTCACTGGTTACGTTTACTTTTATGTAGCCAAGTGGCGAGCAGTAGATAAATTTATGTCGCCATAGATTTAAGTCTCATTTGGCCACCAGAATAGTCGCTACTTAGAGAGCAGCTGAGATTGGCATAAAATATGGATGATCTATGTTTAATAAATTTTGTGGCTGTGGTTTAAAAAATGTTATTTAAAAGTTGTCTTGTGGGTGTGACTGTTTTGTTTATCTGTGTAAATTGTCAACAGTGGCCATGGTCACAGCAGTAACGTAGGACCAGGGGCTTAACCAGGCTGCACCCACAAGCTGTGTGGCTGTTGTATTCCTGTAACACAATGTGGGAGTTGCAACAGATTAGCAAGCGCTGTGATGTGGATGATGGCGTGAAATAATTAAGGCCAATAAAAGTATTATGTTTCGGGTATTTTTGTTTGACTTCAAATTACTTCAGATGCGTTTTGTTTCTTTCTTTTGAGCATGTTGAGACAAGCTCATTTGCCAAACATTAGCAATAAAATATATATATATATTGGAAGGAAAACGTTGTTGTACATGTTGTAACTTAGTTATAATACTCGACAAGCCTAAAAGTAAAAGGCCATATTATATTGCCCACCCACAGCCATGCCTAATGCAGTTTGTTCATTATTGGGAAAGGGGGCGGTCGGGTAGCCTAGTGGTTAAAGCGTTGGCTCGTCACGCCGAAGACCCGGATTCGATTCCCGACATGGGTACAATGTGTGAAGCCCATTTCTGGTGTTATCCGCCGTGATATTGCTGGAATATTGCTAAAAGCGGCGTAAAACCTTACTCACTCACTCACTCATTCATTATTGGGAAAGCGGGTTAGAGTTGCCTCCCCTGGGTTTTGATCCCGAAAACTAAAAAGCTCAATGCAGGGATTGTAAACATCACCGTTGGGGACCAGATACATAATATTCTCGAGTTTAGGGGACCTGATGGGTGGGTCAAGCAAACCTGTGATTGACAACATGCATGATCCTCGGCCTCAGGGTATAAGGAGTGCACGGGTGGCCCAGTTGTCTGTGGGGGCTGGGAGAATCCCTGAATCGTGGGTTCTAAGAATTGCAGTGATCATTATTTTTAACTTGTCATATAATGAAATACTATATGAAATGTCGTAACCACAACTTGCTCAATATGCTGAGGTCATGTATTGGTATGATGAGGACTTATTAGCTGACCTTCCTGGACCGATCAGAATTTGACTAATCTGGCTTCAGACAAGTGGCTAAACTACTCATTATCATAGTTACAGGTGTACAACCTCGAGTCACGTGCTAGGAGTTGAACGTGTATTTTGTAGATCTCAGTGTTGAGATGACGCAACATGTGTTGTATTGCAGTGATCCGGAGATGGAGACAGTGGAGCTGTCTGAGCAGACGGTCAATCCAGGTCAGCTTAAGACGGGCCCAGCTGACTTTGAACTGCTCAAAGTCCTCGGTAAAGGGGGATATGGGAAGGTATGTATTTGGATAAGACTTTCCCACTATAGTATATGCCTTGATGGACTTGCCTAACTATAGTATAGGCTTTGATGGACTTGCCTAACTGTAGTATTAGGGTTTATGAACTCGCCTAACTATAGTATAAGCCTTGATGGACTCACCTAACTACAGTATAAGCCTTGATGGACTCGCCTAACTATCATTCATAACTATAGCATAAGTCTTGGATGAACTCACCTAACTGTGGTATAAACCTTGATGGACTCGCCTAACTACAGTACATGTCTTGAAGAACTTGCCTAACTATGGTATAAGCCTTAATGGATTTGCCTGTCTGCAGTATACATGGTAAAAATCTTATCTGCTTATTGGAGATCTGTTATATTTCAATGTTTCTCATCCACCCCGTATCATCAGATAACAAACATATTTGCCTCTGAAAACTGTTTCAACATTAAATCTAAAGCTTTTCATGATTCATGATTAGTATGAGTATTTTCCTTATGGCATCCCTTCACAGTGTTTGGCATCTTGTCGATTTGTTCTTGATTTATTAATTTCTAAACATCACTTGAAAATGCACAAACACCAAGGAAAAGTCCAAAATCATTTCCTGGTAGATTTTAGACTTGTAAATTCTATTTTTAGATTTTTTTACCTTAAAAAAGAAGGTAGTTCACCATCGTTATCCTGCTTGAAGGTCATCAAGGTCACAGGGTCCTTGTCATTTGCAGGATAGCCTTGATGTTAAGCTTGGTACAAGTTAAGACTATATTTGTCTCTAGATCGTGTAGATTCAAGTACTTTATACCAAACTGAAGGACCCCAAGACACACATAATTTCAGCACTGCAGTCTAAGTTCACAATATTCAAGTTATACGGCTACATGAGGATAATTCTGAGGCTATCATTTAAAGCAGTTGCTGCATTCAGTGTCCTTTTAGTCCTGTAAACTTGATAAACATTGGCTTTGTAGAAACTGACTTTTCCACCGGAACATACTGATTCAGATCAGTGATACAGTTGCCCACTGTTTGAAACCTTGAATATTTCATTTTCATTCCAGGTCTTCCAAGTGCGCAAAATTTCAGGGCAAGATGGAGGCAAGATATTTGCCATGAAAGTTCTTAAAAAGGTACTTCAGTAATGACATTGAACATATAGTTACATGTATAGGACATGTAGGATGCAGTGTTGAACATGTTTAGTTTCTGCATGTGATGCAGGAAGGATACAGTGACAGATGTGTGCTGGTATCAGGAATAGAGCCACTCGGACATTTGCTAAATGACCTATAATTGTCATAATTGTTCCTCCAAATATTTCCTCCTAAAGTCAACTCTGAACAGAATACAGAAATATTTATGTAATTTGCCCTAAAGTCGACTATGAACAGAAATACATAAATGAATGTAGTTAGTATTTTATTTCAGTTGACAATGTTCATTATCCAATAATATACACATATGTTTAAATATTCGCAGTGCTGTTCAAGAATAGGATATGAGAGGCATTAATTGCATCTTAGTTCATATCACAAATAACGAAAATCAAGTTTCCACTGTTTCCACTGTTTGAAGACGAAATACCTCTGATTATTAGCAAAATCTCATCTCACGCCAAAAAATCTCATTGCTTTTGGACCAGGGAAGATTTTTGTCTCACAGATAAACAGTCCAGGATAATCTGTGAACCTAGCTCTACATTGAAAACACAGTAGGTTTACCCCCTGGTTATGTCAGCTTGTTGATCGACACGTTGTCTTGCAGGCTACTATTGCCCGGAACGCCAAGGACACAGCTCACACCAAGGCCGAGAGGAACATCCTGGAATGTGTGAAGGTAATACCTACTGTTTACAATGTATTCTGACAGTTAGATGTACCGTATTCTACCTAATAAGCGCCCAGGGCGCTCTCAAAATAAGAATTAGGGGGCTCTAATTAGAATATTATTTTGTCGAGTTGAAAGATAAATTCTGTGGTTTATGCTGACAGCCTGAAATGTTTATATACGAGAGATATATTTTTCCAGAATTTAATTGCCCATAATTAAGGGTGCATATAACACACGAGTGCGTATTATCCGCGAATAAATAAGTATTGTGTACATTGATCAATCGGAAAGGGTGCTAATTGGGATTGTTCATGAGCCAATATATTAGCAAGTATTGCCGTGGGCACTTATTAGAGCGGGGCGCTTATTACGTCGAATACGGTAGGTCTCATGGTACCATATGTATCAGGCTGTGCCCTTGGTGGTACATGTATTTGGACCAGTGTTCAAGGCATGAACGTCAAGGGGTCCTATTCATAACCCTATTGTGAAAATGTCCAGATAACAGGGTCCCTAGATTCAAATACAATAGGGCAGCACCTCAAGAACCCCTGGACCCCGCTTAATTTCCATCGATCAATATCATGATGGCTTGTCTTTGATGCAAATGGCTGAGTATGAAATGCTAATGGTCTGTATTGCAATGACTGGTGTTTGATATGGATACACGGTGTAGAATACAACTGACTTGTTCACCCATGTGATGTGACTGGTGTGGTACACGGTGTAGAATACAACTGACTTGCATACCAGATTTTAGTATAGGTGTTCCAAGTTTGGTGCCTTTAATCCAGATTGCAAACCTTTTGCTTTATTCACCCCACTTAAGATGCTCATAGAAGTTATTGCAGTGCAGAAGTCTGCTCATGGTGTAACCCTGTGGGACTTAATCGGTGATGTGACTTGTGTGGTACACGGTGTAGAATACAACTGAGTTGTTCACCCATGTGATGTGACTGGTGTGGTACACGGAGTAGAATACAACTGACTTGTTCACCCATGTGATGTGACTGGTGTGGTACACGGTGTAGAATACAACTGACTTGTTCACCCATGTGATGTGACTGGTGTGGTACACGGTGTAGAATACAACTGACTTGTTCCCCCATGTGATGTGACTGGTGTGGTACACGGTGTAGAATACAACTGACTTGTTCACCCATGTGACGTGACCGGTATGGTACACGGTGTAGAATACAACTGACTTGTTCACCCATGTGACGTGACTGGTGTGGTACACGGTGTAGAATACAACTGACTTGTTCACCCATGTGACGTGACCGGTATGGTACACGGTGTAGAATACAACTGACTTGTTCACCCATGTGACGTGACCGGTATGGTACACGGTGTAGAATACAACTGACTTGTTCACCCATGTGATGTGACTGGTGTGGTACACGGTGTAGAATACAACTGACTTGTTCCCCCATGTGATGTGACTGGTGTGGTACACGGTGTAGAATACAACTGACTTGTTCACCCATGTGACGTGACCGGTATGGTACACGGTGTAGAATACAACTGACTTGTTCACCCATGTGACGTGACTGGTGTGGTACACGGTGTAGAATACAACTGACTTGTTCACCCATTTGATGTGACTTGTGTGCTTCTGTTTCAGCATCCATTCATTGTAGATCTGATCTACGCCTTCCAGACGGGTGGCAAGCTGTACCTGATCCTGGAGTACCTGCCTGGGGGGGAACTCTTCATGCAGCTGGAGCGCGAGGGCATCTTCATGGAGGACACAGCTTGGTGAGTCTAGGGCACAGCTTAGTGAATCTAGGGCGCAGCTTGGTGAGTCAAGGGCACGGCTTGGTGAGTCTATGACACGGCCTAGTGAGTCTAGGGCACGGCCTAGTGATCTAGGGCATGGGTTGGTGAGTCTAGGGCACGGCTTGGTGAGTCTAGGGCACGGCTTGGTGAGTCTATGACATTGCCTATTGAGTCCAGGGCATGGGTTGGTGAGTCTAGGGCGCGGCTGGGTGAGTCTAGGGCGCAGCTTGGTGAGTCTAGGGCACGACTTGGTGAGTCTAGGGCACGGCTTGGTGAGTCTAGGGCACAACTTGGTGAGTCTATGACATTGCCTATTGAGTCTAGGACATGGCTTGGTAATCTAGGGCACGACTTGGTGAGTCTAGGGCACGGCTTGGTGAGTCTAGGGCAAGACTTGGTGAGTCTAGGGCACGGCTTGGCGAGTCTAGGGCACAACTTGGTGAGTCTAGGGCACGGCCTTGTGAGTCTAGGGCACAACTTGGTGAGTCTAGGGCACAACTTGGTGAGTCTAGGGCATGGCCATGTGAGTCTAGGACATGTGAGTCTAGGACATGGCCATGTGAGTCTAGAATGCGGTCATGTTAGTCTAGGACGCTGTCATGTGAGTCTAGGACGCGATCATGTGAGTCTAGGGCACGACTTGGTGACTCTAGGACACGGTCATGTGACTCTAGGGCACGGCCATGTGAGTCTAGGACACGGTCATGTGAGTCTAGGGCATGGCCATGTAAGTCTGGGGCATGGCTTGGTGAGAATGTAGGACACTGCATGGTGAGTTAGGTTTAATGGGAGAATCTGGAAGAAGGAAAATTAATCTTTTTCATTGTTAAGAAATTGCAGCGGGTATACTTCCTTGTTTGATATAAAAATGCCGACCAATGTGAAGGAGGCGATTGTTGCTGATGTGTGGCTTGTACTTTCAGCTTCTACCTTGCCGAGATCACTCTTGCCATTGAGCATCTCCACTCCCAGGGAATCATATACCGAGATCTGAAACCCGAGAACATTCTCCTCGACTCCCAGGGTAAGTCTGGCACAGGGGCCCCAGGTCACAGGTCACAGGCACCCAAGGTCACGGGCAACATCGCAGGTTCCATGTTGACCCTGGCATTTGATCCACATGTAATTGCATAGTCCCCGGTCACGGATCGATTTTGCTATAAGCTGCACCAGTGCAAGTAAAACATTGATAGTGTAGGTAACTTTTATTGTCAGGATGCACCCTGTGCAGGTATTATTTCCAACCACAAATGCACGGCAGCAGTCAAATTTGATAAAAGTGGAAAACTGAAGTCATGAAAAGTTCATAAAAATAATGAAATGCATAGGTCTGAATGCAGCAAACTTGCGAACTAATTCTTCACAATTGCCTGATTACCACTAGAACAGTCACTCATGCGGTTACAACAAACAGACACTTTGAAACTTCTGTTTAAGTTTGTTTACTGGATATCAAGGTGTTAAAAGCCAGATACATATTTTTTCAAAATAAAATACTCAAGTACATTTTCAAGTTTATTTTCTTTTTGAATTTATTTAATATTCAAAATAACTAAAAATACAGTGTTTCAATTGATGATAAAAAGGTGCAGCCAATATTTTGGTGGTGCAATCTGATTAATTCACTTGGTTACACCTGGTGCAGGTGGTAAAACAGAATGAAATTGTACCCTGCCCTGTTCTCTAAGGCTGCAAAGAGCATCAGATTGATTGAGGCACTGAGGATTTTGCTCACTAATCCCGTACATTTGTTTCCCAAGGCAAGAAGGAAAAAGGAATGTCAAATTGTCATATATATTCCACGTTTGTAAAATTTTGGGTGGGCGTGACCTTATGATAAGTAAAAATAAATGTAGATAAGTATGGATAAGTATATGATGTTTGTTTCAGGCCACGTGAAGCTGACAGACTTCGGCCTGTGCAAAGAGTCCATCAACGATGGGACCGTAACTCACACCTTCTGTGGGACCATTGAGTACATGTGAGTACTTGTACCAGTACAACAGATAGTTCTCTGAGTATCGACAGTTATAGTTCTAATACTGTGGGTGGTTCTGTGTGACCATGGACTACATGTTAGGACTTGTACCAGTACTGCTGATAGTTCTCTGAGTATCTACAGTTCTAGTACTAATACTGTGGGTGGTTCTGTATGACCATGGGGGCGGTCGGGTAGCCTAGTGGTTAAAGCGTTCGCTCGTCACACCGAAGACCTGGGTTCGATTCCCGACATGGGTACAATGTGTGAAGCCCATTTCTGGTATCCCCCGCCGTGATATTGCTGGAATATTGCTAAAAGCGGCGTAAAACCATACTCACTCACTCACTGTATGACCATGGACTACATGTGAGTATTGACTTTTAAGGGACAGTTGGAGTAGCCTGGTGGCTCATGTGGTTGCTCATCATGTCAAGGTACAGGTTTGATTCCCACCAACATGAACAAGGGAACACTGGCTAACTGTGTGATTACCATTGCGTCCTATGCAGTGAAATGGCTGGAATATTGGAAGTGTTTGAAAACCCACACTCTGTCTCATAATGAGGCATTCAGTCTCACAGAATTAAGAAAAGTTGTATACTCCCCAGGAAGTTGAGAATGCACTTTGAATTCATTGATCTGTTAACTGAGGTCACACTGTGATGATGCTCTTTGAACATGCTCGTGTTGGTCCAACACTATGCACAATTAAAGAGGCGACTAACGGGATTGGGTGGTAAGGCTCGCTGACTTGGTATATGCATGTCATTGTATCCCAATTGTGTGAATCTGTGCTCATGATGTCAGTCACTGGATTGTCTGGTCCAGACTTGATTATTTACACACCGCCATCATATAGCTAGAATATTGCTGAGTGTGGCGTCAAACAACAAACAAACAACCAAATATTAAAAAGTGTGTTTAGTATTTGTATGGGAACCATGAGTGAGGGTGACGTGTTGACCTTGCAGGGCCCCGGAGATTCTGACCCGCAGTGGCCATGGCAAGGCAGTGGACTGGTGGAGCCTTGGAGCCCTCATGTACGACATGCTGACCGGAGCGGTGAGTGCGCAAACTGATCGCTTGTTACAGGGGAAAGTGATAGATATTGATAACTTGTTATAGGGTAAAATAGTGTGACAATAGTAGACACTTATATCTTGTAACAGGGGGAAAAAAGTAGATGCTGAAAACTTGTAACAGGGGAAAATAGTAGATACTGAAAACTTGTTCAAGGGAAAATAGTAGATACTGAAAACTTGTAACAGGGGAAAAAAGTAGATGCTGAAAACTTGTAACAGGGAAAAAGTAGATACTGAAAACCTGTTACAGGGGAAAATAGTTGATAATAGTAGATACTGAAAACTTGTTACAGGGGAAAAAAGTAGATACTGAAAACTTGTTACAGGGGAAAAAAGTAGATGCTGAAAACTTGTTACAGGGGAAAATAGTTGGCAATAATAGATACTGAAAACTTGTTACAGGTGGAAAATAGTAGATACTGAAAACCTGTTACAGGGGAAAATAGTAGATACTGAAAACTTGTTACAGGGGAAAATAGTAGATGCTGAAAACTTGTAACAGGGGAAAATAGTTGACAATAGTAGATACTCAAGTCTTTCACTTCTTGTGAAAGTTGGTTTTGCTACACACAATAGAATTCCTTCCTTATCAATAACCTTGTATTTCAGCCTCCATTCACAGCTGAAAATCGGAAGAAGACAATTGACAAAGTAAGTAGCCCCACTCCAGCTGTGAAAATGAAAACTTAAACAGATGGGTGATCAGTCCTCATAGAACAATAAATTGACTTAAACATTGTTCAGGACCAAACATAAATCACCCAGTAGAAAATCTGAGGCTTGTTTCACTCCATGGCTTTAGTCTCAGATTTTGAGAACCGGCACACTGTGTGTGCTGTATGCAGACATCGAACTTTGAATCATTGATCAGGAGGAGATAACTCTCTTCCACGTGCTGCTGACGTGTGTGACAGATTGTGTTTCTGTTTCCAGATCCTGAAAGCCAAGCTGAGTCTGCCTCCATATCTCACTAATGAGGCTCGGGGTCTCATCAAGAGGGTAAGCCTGTCAAGATGCAACACAACACGATGCACAAACACACAGATTGATGTTGTAGTTAGTCTGTGATAATGTCATCATTATCTTGTAGTTAGCCTGTGATAATGTCATCATTATCTTGCAGTTAGCCTGTGATAATGTCATCGTAATCTCGCAGTTAGCGTGGGATAGATTCATCGTTATCTTGCAGTTAGCCTGTGATAATGTCATCATTATCTTGCAGTTAGCCTGTGATAATGTCATCGTTATCTCGCAGTTAGCCAGTAGATATCTCCCTGTTTGCTGGTAGTCATCTCCCAGTAGTTAAGTCATTTATCTTCCATTTTGCCAGTGGTATCTCATCATTATCTCCCAGTTAGCCAGTAGTTTCATCAATACCTCCAGTTAGCCATTGGTCATCTCTCCGTCATCTCCCAGTTAGCCATTGGTCATGTCCCAGTTAGCCATTGGTCATCTCCCAGTTAGCCATTGGTCATGTCCCAGTTAGCCAGTGGCCATCTACCACTTAGCCTGTTGTACTCTTATTGTTATCTCCCTGTTAGCCTGTAGTTGTTTCAGTTATCTCCCTGTAAGCTAAAATATTTCTATAATGTTAAAATATATGATCCATTTTGTCCAATGTGTTTTAAAAGATGTTTTTTTTTTTTTTTTTTGCCAGTTACTCAGGAAGTCTCCATCGGAGAGACTGGGAGGAGGGGCTGACGATGCGAACCCAATCAAGGTACGTTGATAAATAAACAACTGTTTACCACCCAACATTTAACTTCTCCCCAAGGCAAGGGAGTTAACTAACTATAAAGTCCAGGTTCCACCCTTGCCTCCCTTGCCTCAAGAAGATGAACATGTAAAGACTTTGCAGTGTTTGAAATTCGGGATCATATGAACCTGTGGTATAGTCTTTCAGCATGAGGGTTCTAACAAGGACTCACTGACTTTCATGTTAAATTTCCAACACTGCTTTGAACGTGTGCCTTTCTGCCTCTGCAAGTGTAACACATAGCGAAGTCAGCTGGACATGTTGCTAGGGGAGCCCAGTGGTGACAGTGTTTGTCATATTTGTGCGTTGTGTAAAACCCTGTGTTTTGTAAAGCCTTCCTGAATCTGTTTTCAGTCCCATGCCTTTTTTCGTCACATCGACTGGTCAGAGCTGCTGGCAAGGAGGTTTGAGCCGCCGTTTAAACCCAACGTGGTGAGTGACGTTCTCCAGATAACTCGTGACACTACTCCACCATCCCTGTGCTGGCAATCTTCATCATGTGTTTCGTGAATGGTTATCCACAGATAACATAATCTTCAAAGTATTGTCCAAGTTTGCCCTGATTATGTTTCTTGGTTTGTCAGCACCATATTCCTGTGTGTGGGTTTCACAACAGGTAAACATCTTTGACCTGTATTGTTTCATGTTTCCCCTCAGGGGTGGTCGGGTAGCCTAGTGGTTAAAGCGTTCGCTCGTCACGCAGAGGACCTGGGTTCGATTCCCGACATGGGTACAATGTGTGGTACAATTTCTGGTGTCCCCTGCCGTGATATTGGTAGAATATTGCTAAAAGAGGCATTAAAGAATACTCACTCACTCAATAGTATGGTGAAATGGTTTGTGTTTGTCATACAAAACTGCAAATTTCAACCTCAATGTGACCCTTTCTGTGCCTCCAGACGGGGGACGAGGATGTGAGTCAGTTCGACACAAAGTTCACCAAGCAGACACCTGTGGATTCCCCCGACGACTCGGTGCTCAGCGAGAGTGCCAACCAAGTCTTTCTTGTAAGTACTGAATCTGTTTGCTTAGATGTATCATGCAGGTAATGGTAAAACAGTACTGCCTTTGTTGCATGTCGTATTTCTGTATTGGCCAATTTTGATATGTTTAATTGAAATGCATTGGTTCATTTGGTACTACTACTACTACTGCTACTACTAGTACTACTTCTAGTTCTACTTCTAGTACTACTACTACTACTGCTACTGCTACTGCTACTGCTACTACTACTACTACTACTACTTGGGCGGTGGGGTAGCCTCGTGGTTAAAGCTTTTGCTCGTCATGCCAAACACTGGCTTCGATTCCCCATATGGGTACAATATGTGAAGCTCATTTCTGGTGTCCCGTGCCGTGATATTGCTGGAATATTGCCAAAAGTGGCGTAAAACCATCTCTCACTACTAGTACTACTACTACTAAAAAAATGGGTCATTTATACAGCACTTTATTTCCACAACACATGGGGATATGTTCTAAGCGCTACATTATTAATACCCTCATTAGTGAGCTCTTCATTTTCATTCTCAGCTCCCTGGGGAGTCTGCAGCATGACATTCAAGTTGCCCTTATCATAACCCCAATGTGAAAATTATTAATAATGTCTGACTGTATACACTCTCAAGCTATTGTTTTTATGGCAGCATTTGAAATTCAGATTGAACAGGGTTGAAGTCTTACGTGAAAAATCGAGGTTTTTGGGTGTTCCCAGGTGGTGTAGAATCAAGTACTACAGCAGAAATATCCAGCACCAAACAGCTCCTTTATTTCAATCTGTAAATAGTAACATGTAGCCTACAGTGCATACCAGCAGTAACGTGTAGGGAGCTTAGTATCAAGATGTGTGTTGTATCTGATGCAAGGCTATTTCAGCATAGGGAGCTTAGTGTCAAGCTGTGTGTTGTATCTGTTGCAAGGCTATTTCAGCGTAGGGAGCTTAGTATCAAGATGTGTGTTGTATCTGTTGCAAGGCTATTTCAGCGTAGGGAGCTTAGTATCAAGATGTGTGTTGTATCTGTTGCAAGGCTATTTCAGCGTAGGGAGCTTAGTATCAAGATGTGTGTTGTATCTGATGCAAGGCTATTTCAGCGTAGGGAGCTTAGTATCAAGATGTGTGTTGTATCTGATGCAAGGCTATTTCAGCGTAGGGAGCTTAGTATCAAGATGTGTGTTGTATCTGTTGCAAGGCTATTTCCGCGTAGGGAGCTTAGTATCAAGATGTGTGTTGTATCTGTTGCAAGGCTATTTCCGCGTAGGGAGCTTAGTATCAAGATGTGTGTTGTATCTGTTGCAAGGCTATTTCAGCGTAGGGAGCTTAGTATCAAGATGTGTGTTGTATCTGTTGCAAGGCTATTTCAGCGTAGGGAGCTTAGTATCAAGATGTGTGTTGTATCTGTTGCAAGGCTATTTCAGCGTAGGGAGCTTAGTATCAAGATGTGTGTTGTATCTGTTGCAAGGCTATTTCAGCGTAGGGAGCTTAGTATCAAGATGTGTGTTGTATCTGTTGCAAGGCTATTTCAGCATAGGGAGCTTAGTGTCAAGCTGTGTGTTGTATCTGTTGCAAGGCTATTTGAGCGTAGGGAGCTTAGTGTCAAGCTGTGTGTTGTATCTGTTGCAAGGCTATTTGAGCGTAGGGAGCTTAGTATCAAGATGTGTGTTGTATCTGATGCAAAGCTATTTCAGCATAGGGAGCTTAGTATCAAGATGTGTGTTGTATCTGTTGCAAGGCTATTTCTGCGTAGGGAGCTTAGTATCAAGATGTGTGTTGTATCTGTTGCAAGGCTATTTCTGCGTAGGGAGCTTAGTATCAAGATGTGTGTTGTATCTGATGCAAGGCTATTTCCGCGTAGGGAGCTTAGTATCAAGATGTGTGTTGTATCTGTTGCAAGGCTATTTCAGCGTAGGGAGCTTAGTATCAAGATGTGTGTTGTATCTGTTGCAAGGCTATTTCAGTGTAGGGAGCTTAGTATCAAGATGTGTGTTGTATCTGATGCAAGGCTATTTCAGCCTAGGGAGCTTAGTATCAAGATGTGTGTTGTATCTGATGCAAGGCTATTTCAGCCTAGGGAGCTTAATATGAAGATGTGTGTTGTATCTGTTGCAAGGCTATTTCAGCGTAGGGAGCTTAGTATCAAGATGTGTGTTGTATCTGTTGCAAGGCTATTTCAGCGTAGGGAGATTAGTATCAAGATGTGTGTTGTATCTGTTGCAAGGCTATGTCAGCCTAGGGAGCTTAGTATCAAAGGTGTGTTGTATCTATTGCAAGGCTATTTGAGCGTAGGGAGCTTAGTATCAAGATGTGTGTTGTATCTGATGCAAGGCTATTTCTGCGTAGGGAGCTTAGTATCAAGATGTGTGTTGTATCTGTTGCAAGGCTATTTCAGCGTAGGGAGCTTAGTATCAAGATGTGTGTTGTATCTGTTGCAAGGCTATTTCAGCGTAGGGAGCTTAGTATCAAGATGTGTGTTGTATCTGTTGCAAGGCTATTTCAGCGTAGGGAGCTTAGTATCAAGATGTGTGTTGTATCTGTTGCAAGGCTATTTCAGCATAGGGAGCTTAGTGTCAAGCTGTGTGTTGTATCTGTTGCAAGGCTATTTGAGCGTAGGGAGCTTAGTGTCAAGCTGTGTGTTGTATCTGTTGCAAGGCTATTTGAGCGTAGGGAGCTTAGTATCAAGATGTGTGTTGTATCTGATGCAAGGCTATTTCAGCATAGGGAGCTTAGTATCAAGATGTGTGTTGTATCTGTTGCAAGGCTATTTCTGCGTAGGGAGCTTAGTATCAAGATGTGTGTTGTATCTGTTGCAAGGCTATTTCTGCGTAGGGAGCTTAGTATCAAGATGTGTGTTGTATCTGATGCAAGGCTATTTCCGCGTAGGGAGCTTAGTATCAAGATGTGTGTTGTATCTGTTGCAAGGCTATTTCAGCGTAGGGAGCTTAGTATCAAGATGTGTGTTGTATCTGTTGCAAGGCTATTTCAGCGTAGGGAGCTTAGTATCAAGATGTGTGTTGTATCTGTTGCAAGGCTATTTCAGCCTAGGGAGCTTAGTATCAAGATGTGTGTTGTATCTGTTGCAAGGCTATTTCAGCGTAGGGAGCTTAGTATCAAGATGTGTGTTGTATCTGTTGCAAGGCTATTTCCGCGTAGGGAGCTTAGTATCAAGATGTGTGTTGTATCTGTTGCAAGGCTATTTCAGCCTAGGGAGCTTAGTATCAAGATGTGTGTTGTATCTGTTGCAAGGCTATTTCCGCGTAGGGAGCTTAGTATCAAGATGTGTGTTGTATCTGTTGCAAGGCTATTTCTGCGTAGGGAGCTTAGTATCAAGATGTGTGTTGTATCTGTTGCAAGGCTATTTCAGCCTACGGAGCTTAGTATCAAGATGTGTGTTGTATCTGTTGCAAGGCTATTTCCGCGTAGGGAGCTTAGTATCAAGATGTGTGTTGTATCTGTTGCAAGGCTATTTCAGCGTAGGGAGCTTAGTATCAAGATGTGTGTTGTATCTGATGCAAGGCTATTTCAGTGTAGGGAGCTTAGTATCAAGATGTGTGTTGTAACTGATGCAAGGCTATTTCAGCGTAGGGAGCTTAGTATCAAGATGTGTGTTGTATCTGATGCAAGGCTATTTCAGCGTAGGGAGCTTAGTATCAAGATGTGTGTTGTAACTGTTGCAAGGCTATTTCCGCGTAGGGAGCTTAGTATCAAGATGTGTGTTGTATCTGTTGCAAGGCTATTTCTGCGTAGGGAGCTTAGTATCAAGATGTGTGTTGTATCTGTTGCAAGGCTATTTCAGCGTAGGGAGCTTAGTATCAAGATGTGTGTTGTATCTGTTGCAAGGCTATTTCAGCATAGGGAGCTTAGTGTCAAGCTGTGTGTTGTATCTGTTGCAAGGCTATTTGAGCGTAGGGAGCTTAGTGTCAAGCTGTGTGTTGTATCTGTTGCAAGGCTATTTCAGCGTAGGAAGCTTAGTATCAAAGGTGTGTTGTATCTGTTTCAAGGCTATTTGAGCGTAGGGAGCTTAGTATCAAAGGTGTGTTGTATCTGTTGCAAGGCTATTTCAGCGTAGGAACCTTAGTATCAAAGGTGTGTTGTATCTGTTGCAAGGCTATTTGAGCGTAGGGAGCTTAGTATCAAGATGTGTGTGGTATCTGTTGCAAGGCTATTTCAGCGTAGGGAGCTTAGTATCAAAGGTGTGTTGTATCTATTGCAAGGCTATTTCAGCATAGGGAGCTTAGTATCAAGATGTGTGTTGTATCTGATGCAAGGCTATTTCAGTGTAGGGAGCTTAGTATCAAGATGTGTGTTGTATCTGTTGCAAGGCTATTTGAGTGTAGGGAGCTTAGTATCAAGATGTGTGTTGTATCTGTTGCAAGGCTATTTCAGCGTAGGGAGCTTAGTATCAAGATGTGTGTTGTATCTGTTGCAAGGCTATTTCAGCGTAGGGAGCTTAGTATCAAGATGTGTGTTGTATCTGTTGCAAGGCTATTTCAGCCTAGGGAGCTTAGTATCAAGATGTGTGTTGTATCTGTTGCAAGGCTATTTCAGCGTAGGGAGCTTAGTATCAAGATGTGTGTTGTATCTGTTGCAAGGCTATTTCCGCGTAGGGAGCTTAGTATCAAGATGTGTGTTGTATCTGTTGCAAGGCTATTTCAGCCTAGGGAGCTTAGTATCAAGATGTGTGTTGTATCTGTTGCAAGGCTATTTCCGCGTAGGGAGCTTAGTATCAAGATGTGTGTTGTATCTGTTGCAAGGCTATTTCTGCGTAGGGAGCTTAGTATCAAGATGTGTGTTGTATCTGTTGCAAGGCTATTTCAGCCTACGGAGCTTAGTATCAAGATGTGTGTTGTATCTGTTGCAAGGCTATTTCCGCGTAGGGAGCTTAGTATCAAGATGTGTGTTGTATCTGTTGCAAGGCTATTTCAGCGTAGGGAGCTTAGTATCAAGATGTGTGTTGTATCTGATGCAAGGCTATTTCAGTGTAGGGAGCTTAGTATCAAGATGTGTGTTGTA